ATGTGTGAACATGATTGCACATGATAGCTGGAAATGGGCCTCTATACACCTTTGTAGATATTGCACCAAAAACCAGACATTTGCAGCTAGAATAGTCATTTACCACATTAGCAATGTATAGAGTGTATTTCTTTAAAGTTAAGACTAGTTTAAAGTTATCTTAATTTAAAAGTACAGTGCTTTTCCTTCAAAAATAAGGAAATTTCAATGTGACCCCAAACTTTTGAACGGTAGTGTATATGGAAACCATGGATGTTTTTAGTTCTACTTCACAGTTATGCACTGTATTGCAGTTGTCTATCAAATAAAACCCAAATAAAATGCATTGTGAGGGTGAGGGTGTAGCATCACCTAATAAGAAAGGTTTAAGGGACATGAATGTTTTTGCATTTGCTTTGTTTAATATCTTAAGTAGTTATTAATACAATATTACAGTCGTTAACTGTCAGGTGATATTATATGCCATAATAGGGCTTGCATTTTAAAATAACAAGTTACTTTAGTTAGTTTTATTTACGAGGAAATGAATTTGCCCTTTAGATGGCAGCAATGATCCACAGCAAACTTCACTAAATGAATACAAGTGCATTTTGATTTTAGAGCAATTTATTTATCAGAGAAGCAGATACAAAAGCTGATTTCATTTTGATTAGAATTAGAGAGAAATATAGATCAAGACAATTTAAGGTTCCTCTTTATGTCATGGTGGCTGATTTTAACAAGGTATAATTGTGAACTTAATTAGCTGCCTTGTTGCCACAAGGAGGAGCTTTTGTGGACTCAGCGGGACGTGGAATCTGAGGAAAGATAGCAGTGACAAAAATGAATAAACATGGATGAAGTAGAACAGGATCAATATTGAAAAAGAAAACAAGGTCAAATGAGTTGTTATACCTGAGTGTCCAGAGCAGGCCTTCCTGAATTTTCAGATTTCACAGTCTGACGCTGGAGATAAACAGAGCAACATTTTAACCCCTTTAAGGCCAAATATATCTGACAGACATTTAGACATTCATAACTTCTCACCCTGAATCTCCGAAGTGGATCTGGCTGAACCGGCGGCTGAACCTGAGACTGAACCTGAGGCTGAACCTGAGGCTGAGCAAGAGGCTGAAAAAGAGGCTGGAAGGGAGGCTGTTGCTGCATTGCACCCACCGCCATTCCCTAAAAGAAAAACAGAAAGTCTTAATCATTCTTGGGATTAATGCATGAATAATCCATGATCTTAGAGAGAAACTGATGTTTACCATTGGAAATTGCTGTGGAGGGTTCATTTGTGGCATTTGGGGAGCACCCATCATAGGAAGCTGGTACTAAACAAGAAATACAAAAAAAATAAGAACTTTGAAAGCCTTAAACAGTACAGGGTGAGTTTTGTGCTATTGACGTGACTGCTAACCGGATTGATTGCGGCTGGGAACATGTTAGGGATAGGAGCTCGAACAGCCAAGGCGGCAGGAAGTCCAGGAACTAACTGTAAAAAGAAAATAAAAAGTATTTCCATGTGTTCCATGTAACTGTATTCAAGTAACAACAGATAGACCTTTGTACTAACTTGAGCAAACTGGGGCTGTCCAACTAAACCCATTCCACCACCAACCATCAGAGGTGGGTTCAAACCTCCACCCATCATCCCATTAAGCATCCCGGCATTCATGGCTGCTAACAGTCTTGCAGTCTGCAGAAAGCACAGGTTTTTGTTTTTTAATTATCTCTGTTATTTCAAAACACTCTTGAATTTACAGTGAGGTGAGGGTGCTCACCTTTCCCCCATTGACCTACAGGAAATAAAAAGATAAGATTTTACATGATAATGAAATGGAATGATAGCGGAACTAAACAGACTGGTGCAAACAAACCATACTTACACTGGAGATAACTGCCACAACCACAGTGAAGAGAAGAAGCTTCATTTTTTTGCACAGTGAAATCTGCAAAATACACTCTTGCTTCAGGTTTTGAAAGAAGACTGTAACTTTTGGCTTTGAGAGCACCTTTTTATACCTCCCAGACATTACTATGAACCAATTAGAGCACAGAAAACTGACATTTTTGCACTGTGTTTGTCACAAGTGTGTCATGGAAACTGGTGAAATGACATATTCATCATGCAAATCTTTAAGGAATGGTAAAAGTCACAAGTTACATTTTTTAAGCTTCTTCTTTGGTCACTATTCTTCTCCATACAGGTGAATGACCACAAAAAGATGACGGCGTGATTCAGTGTCTCAACGTGGAGCTTTAGAGGTTTGTGGATCCCACTGACTTATAAACCAGTAAGAACCATTTAAATGATGAGGATTGTGGCTA